GGCGAACTGTCTGAATCCATTAAGGATGAAAGGAAGACAGTTAGCAGGAAAAAGAAATCTCAAAGGTATTTCTAAAAAAGGTTGAGGGGTCATTAAGGCACTGGAGAAATGCAAGGTTATTTCCCTGGCAGGCCATCTATGTGTTTTTATTCATTTATTTAAGTGGCTGCTCTGAACAGGGCACAGCTTTCTCTATTCTTCAGCCCACTGCACTACAAGGGAGATGCTGTATTTCGGGGGTGACGTGAAACCTCACCTTGTGCCCAACACTGAAACCTCAGCAGCATCTGGCCTTTAGCAGATGGAGAGATTGCGTCCACAAATATGCCTCGCTTTGTCTGTTCCATACCTGCCTCCCGCCTGGCATCTCATAAAACCAACGTGATACTTAGGATGCAGCTGAAAAGAGAACGGCGATTCTGCAGGCTGCCCGCTTTCTTGCTGACTCAGCCAACTGGGTGCTCAGCTAATTTCCGCAGTGCTACAGAAGCTTCCTCGCAGTGGAGGCAAGGAAATATTTTTAATTGATTAGAGCCTCCCAGAAAGCCAAAGCTAATTTGTCAGTTCTCAGATGAGCTGTTCTAAAAATCGTGTTCTCTAGTTGTAGAGATAAATCGGAGTTAGGCTGGGATGGCCCTCCGTCACTCCTATTCAGGTTGCATCAGTCACACATAGATAAACTTTTTGGGGAAGAACAACTCCCTCCTCTGCATGAGTGTGCTGCAGTTGTGAGTGAAGCAAAATGCCATTGATTTAAAAGCAAAGCAAAGCTGAAAGGGTCAGTGACCTCTGGCTTGGAAAATCTGGAGTCCAGTTTCAAGGCATGAGGCAAAGTTGAAAGACTGAAATAGACTGACTTCAAAGGGGAAAAAAATGAATCTCGTGAGATCAAATTATACTCTGAGATACCACATGGTATATTCTATTTTGGTGAAGAATAACTTAAGTTGGTATTATGCCCATGGGCTAACTTTAGAGAGATAATGACAGGTAAGGACCGACAATAATAAAACTATATGGACCTGTGCGGGAAAAACTGGTTGGTGCAGACTGGCAGGGAAACCTGATGGCAGTGATGCTTGGCTATACAAAATTAGGAACGTGAACTGGACCACACAGTATAATTAGAGGATGTAAGGAATAGAGACAAAACTTTAAAATCCTTAAAGGACATGATGTTGAAGGCTACAGAGGTGTAAAAACTGAAGAAATACGTAAAAATGAAAGATTTGGATAGATAGTTTTTCTTTGTTTAAGCAAAATCTGAATGAATGAGTGATTCAGTTTCTTTTATGTGATAAAGATAAGGTGGGAAAGCAGGTTAACTATTTAGAAGAACAAATGAAAATTACTTTATATATTTGTTAAAAAAACCCAAAATACAGGCCAAACATCTTTTCTTCAATGTGCTCTCAGATGTTTAATTTTATTTTAGTTAATGTTTTCCAATATGCAGCAGGTTGCCAAATGATCAGAATAGGCATCAACAGTGTTTATAGAAGGAATCTGGATCCTTTAGAAAACACTAAGAACTTCGTATAATACAAACCAAACAATGGTTATACCACAAATGTATTTTAATTATAATGATAAAAAAAAAGACGTTTATCCAGAATCCACTCCCAATATATTTTTCTTATTTTAAACATTATTTTACCCTTCCCAACATCCATGTGCAACATACACATGCATGATGCCAGAGTGCACAACATCTGAGAACAGATAAGGAAAAGGGATATTGGAAATTGTTATGCAGATTTTAATACACTTTGGATTAGGCTCTTTAACAGTCACTATGTTATGTGACACGGGCATTTGCCTTTGGAACCTCAGGCTGGGTCAAGTAATTGCATCTGGGAAATACAGTTTGTGTTTCTTCCCAGGTCTTTTGTGGTCACATTTGTGGAAGATCAATTTTGACAGTACTCATTTAAATGTTTCCTTACTTCACAGTAAAAGAGAGATGAAAATGGCCCACAGAAATCTCAGGAGGAATGTATGAATTCAATCATAGTGAGAAATGTGAATTAGACCCTTTCTGCTATGTACTTACAGGAAGGTAATCTTGCCAACACTCAGGAATACATTTTATGTCTTTCTCAGTACATTCCACAGTCTTGCACTTTATCTCTAGATTTTTTAAGATGATAGAGCCATTTAGGAGTGAGACTATACTTAGAAACAAAATCTAAGATGATCTGTTCCCATAACCCTAGGACCCATGATTTTGAGAGCAGCACCAAATTTCCCTAATTTTGTGGTGAAGTAGAAGAGATGCCAACACCCTGTGACACAGATAGCACCATCCTGTGAGGCCGTATGTTACATTCCACATACTCACTACCTCCCTTTTGCTAGAAATAAGCGTATGGAGTACATATTTAACCATCAATTCCCAACAATACTGACTGGCAGCAGCTACCTTACGACAAGCAGTCATCTTCCCACATTGCTTTATTCAAGGGATTTCCCGAACTATTTTACCTATGAATCAGTTTCATAGGGTCTGGAATATAGGTGTAATGAAATAGCAACAGGCTGAGAGTGAAAATAGGAGTCGTTTATAACAGTGGCTGAAGTGAATGGAATAAGAATCCACGTGTACAAAATATGCTAGCGCAATATTAGTTATATCTGACATTAGTCCCCTGTGCACACGTACTCATTACTTTCTTACAGATAATTTCCCTCATCATAAATACTGGCCTTTTAGTAATACAATATGGCATCATCAACTCTCTCATCCTTTATCAAGCAGTACATTTTCATATGATTTAAATGCACACACTTCTTACAATGACAATTGGCATCAAGATAAAGGCGGACAAAAAAAATCTATTACAAAGCAGGCCAAGAACCACCTCTTTGCTTGATATTTCATTAATAAGCAATGCGCAGCTGCATTACTGATGTCTCAAAATAACACAGTCGCCAAACACAACTATGTGTGGATTCAAAAAGTCCACCTCGTGGTGAAACAGCAAACTGGACCTTCACCTTCTATTTTAAAAGTATGCCTATTGCATATATTGCCTTAAGACTCAACAGATTCAACAGAGAGAATGACAAAAGAGACCCCTCCAACTTGTCTTTCCGATTAAGTTCTTCACATATTAGGTTTGGATGTCTGAGAGAATTTCAAGCTCCATTTTAGACTCAATAAATCCATGTAGTGGATACACCAATATCCCCTAAATAACATAATTTTAATTTGCTGGGGGAATGAATATAACCCTTGCATTACAACTACTACAAACAGACTAAGCCAGCAAAGAAGAAAACAAAAGGAGTCTGTTGAGACAGACCTCGTACAGCAATTAAGAAGTCTGGACTGGAGTGGCCTGGGCTGAGAGGAAGGCAGGAATAACGGTATCACCTGAGCTCAGTGGGCCCAAAGCTTTAACTAACTGAAGGAGAAGTTGTAAAGTTTCAAGTTCTTTCTTCACCATGTCATCACAGTTATCTAAATCCACAAATGTGCAGTCAGCAAGGTGTACAACCCCTGTATGACTTGTCAGTGACCTCAAAGCTTCCCTAAACTGGCACACTAAAAGTGGGAAACAAAGTTAGACCATCTCTAATACTGCTATACTGACCCATCTTCAGGTCACTGGCTGGGAAAGTCCAATTTACAGAATGACAAGTACTTTGAATTCACATCTCCCATTCTTTTTTAAATCTTTTCCTGATAATATCAATGTTAACTACTATAAACATTGCTACCGTGGCATTAAAATTCTGTTTATAAACACTTGTCTTTCAATAGCATAGTCGTGGTAATCAAATAGGAATTGGCTACTCTCTTTCAGTGCAATACCCTTCTATTATAGACCAATGTGGCACACCAACCCTTTCACAAATGTGTCGAAAAGAAGGTGTATTTTTTCTCCCATAGCTCCTGTCGGGAAGCTGTTCCAGAGCCTCGCTCTCCACACTGGCAAGGTGAACAATTCATCCCTTTTCACTTTGTTTCATAAAAGACAGGCACATCAATTTATTTGACTCTATTAACAGTCCTGTGGGGTAAATCTTCCCAGTTTCTGTTCCTATTAGTGAACATGTGTGTTAAGAATTGCACTCAGTCTTCCAGATAAGGTCTTACGTATGACACTGGTAACTCCTTATCTCTACAGGCAGCGCCAAAGGATACATCTTAGGAGTGTATTTGCCTTTTTCACAGATGCATTAGACAGGCGGTTTGTAATAATCCTGTGATCACCCAATAAAGCCCCATTTTGACACCCTCCCTCAGCAATTATAACTACTGATTATCGATGACACTCTGCACTAGTGCATTTCATCCCATTTCTTTTTTTCCAGTCTTCATAATCACTAGATTTTTCCTATATGACATTCTGAGCCTGCCTGATCATGGTAATGACTGGCCACCGTGTTATTGGTACAGTTCTACATTTGTGGTTAGTGTCATTATTGACAGCATTAGAAAATGAATCCATAAGGCATTCTGTAAATCTCTGTCTTTAACTCCAGCTTCTAGCCTTTGCTGCTGTATTTCCATATTCTTCCAGAAAACTGATGTAAAGCAATTGCTTACAACTTCATGAACAGTAGTGTATCGTGCATCTGGGGAAGTAATTCATATGGGATAGTGCAAAAGGTGCATATTTTTGTCAGACTGCCAGAGACCCCTGGCGAATGATATGGGTCAACAGGAAAGATTAAGTATCTTCAGCTGCTTACAAAGGGTGCAACTCAAATATAAATGCTTTCATATTAGAAACAAATCCAAATCAAACAAATAACTGCTGGAAATTATGCAACCATTTGCTAAATAAATCCATATCCATCCAGCTATACTGGCAACATGCAGGCAAATTTTAGGCAGTTATTTAAATTCTTTCCATCAAAATACTCAGTTTACATATTCATTATTGCCTTGAAAGTTTTATATTTCATCCTTCAAAGATATACCAACATACACATTAAAAAATATCACAAGGAAAGGACTCCTATCAGACTTTCAATATCCTCCTACTAACCTTAGGTGGTTTAAAAGGATAGTCCGGTGAAAAGGTAATGTCAAGGAAGAAAACTCCACCTTCATATACAGACCCTGGAGGCCCCAGTATAGTTGACCTCCATTCATAAATGTTGTCTCCTTTGGGTCCAGCACTAAAATAGAAAAAAAACCAAAACATAATAACCACAGACAATCAAAAATATACTGCATCAGTTATACTCTACTAGTAGTACCGCTGGTTTTGCAATAACACTGCAAGTTAAAATTGTGTATCACATTCATTAAGTTAGTCCTGGATAAAACATGTAACTGGTGTCCTAAGCTCTGTCAGTGAAGTGATATATTCAGCCAGGAAGAAGTATTAAAATCACATTATAAATTATTCAAATAAGCACAGAAAAATTCCCAACTGTCTTATCTCAAATATTTTAGTGGGCAGATGTGAGGTATTTACAGTGCAGGGATACAGAGACTTTGCTCAGATGTCTTGTCACTGTCTTGCCTCACAAGCCAACCTATTTTCACCTACCTCCTCATCCACCTACCTCATCAGTCAGTGGCAGTGTAATTACACACATTATTATACAGCACAGACTGTACTAAAGACTGAGCAGGGTACAAATGACCTTGCAGCCGCACTTTCTAAGTTAAAGTTACTAACCTAAGGTCTCCAGTCACTCGTACAGACGGCTGCTTTTCTCTGCAATCGTTACCCTATCTTAAAAAAATTATAAACATGAAGCAGGCTAAGCTGTTGGATCATGTTAATTCAAAGTTGTTGTTTAAAAACACAGTACTGAAACAATATTTAAAATGTACAAAACATAATCCTGTACGTCAAACAAGAAAAATCTCTCACCCACATGGTCAGTTCCTGACAAAATCAAAGGAAAAACTAATAAAAGTTCTTGGGCATGACTCTTCCAAAAGCCAACACAGCCTCCTTTCATATGGCATAATACTTGTCCATAGAAACACATATTATACTCAGGGTGGCCTCTTAAGGAACATGAAGACTTCTTTTAGTTTCACAGCCTCCTGATAGCAGTCACTGATACAGGACTTGAATTTTAATTAGGATCCATTGGGCTGGTGACTTCCAGATATCTGATTAATATTTTTCAGAGGAAGGCAGTGCTGGTAGATATTTCAAATAAGTGACGTGGTATTGTCTTGAGGCATTTCTTGTGAAACAATTCTTGTTATGTTTGCAATAAAGATTTCCACAGCATGCAGGGGTTTGTGAAATAACCCTGCGTGTAGAACAGATGAAAGCTCTTGGCTATGCTCCATGCCTCACAATGTACCCAAGGCATACAATTATTATACGACATCATGTCATGTTCACTGCTCAACTATTCATTTTGTTCACTGAAAGTTAATAAAACCCTCTTTCACCTGAAATTCCTTGGGCTCCCTTCATTAAAACTTCTGACTGCATGATTCCCTGCATACAATCTGCGTGACTTAGTACTGTGCGGTGTACTTCATTAGTCATGGTACCTACATCAATTTTCTGTAATAGCTGTTAATGCTTCTTGGCTTTCTAAACTATGCGCTTTCTTAACAAAAATGGGTTACAGAGACTATAACTTTATGGAACATTCATTTTCTATCAGCCACAGTAACAAAACTAGCCATTGTTTTAAAGATAAAATCTGGCTTTTTAAGTGTCACAAGAGCAGAAATGTTGCCATCCAGATTTCACAGTGTCTATAATACATCAGGTTGCTAGCTGCCAAACAAATTTAATTTACCCAGTTCTCGGTTTGCATTAACCTTTGAATAATAAAGCACAGCTGAGACTGCTGTAAGAAACAAACCAGAGAATGAATAATTAAAAACACCTCCACTACCTTTAGAAAGACCAATCCCGAGTCAACAGGGAAGGTTTAATTGTGACTGAACTAGGCATTAAGGGGCTAATTGAACTCTTTATAAGCCCAAACAAATGTGGGACTGCATCAGTGCTATGGCATACAAGGTCCACAGAAAGTAAAACCCTTAAAGAAACCCCACAAACCCACCACACAATTAGTTCAAATAGAAAAGGCAAGAAGCAGGGGCAGTCTAAATCTTACACCAAAAAAAAAAAGCCCGTAATACGTGAAGGAAATCCTTTTCCATTTTCTGCAGAAAAATGTTCTAATACTTGGAGAAGCAATGACTCAGTTGATGCCAGCAAGTTAAAATGGAAGTGATATAAATGCGGATCCCAGAGAAATGGTTGGAAACAGCAAGGAACAAAAGCAAACCCTGTCTTTATTAGACCTTATTTAGCCAGGAGGGGATGGTCGGGTCCTTTCTGGGTTTGAGCGAGGCTCACTTCTTTGATCAGAACTCTCTCTCTCTGATAGTGGCATTTTCATAATGTATATTATTTTTATTTGTTTTGCCATTTATTTAATTGCATTAACATTTGAAATGAACAGTCATTAATTAGAATAGTTGGAAAACACTCCATCTGCCAGTTGAACTGTTTCGGCACGTCCAGCTACAAGCCCAGCCTGATCACATTCTGAGGATGCTGATTAACATTAATTGAAGGTTTTCTTTGCAAATGAGAGATGAAGCTTTATTAAGTATTATTATTAATTTGAAGAATAGCTTGAATTGTATGGAGTGTGGGAAGACTGCTGTTATCGACGTCGCCTGTTGGAGTGCTTGCTGGCAGCAAGGCTGTTCAACCGAGGTAAAATACCGACCCACGTGCACAGGCAACAGCTGCTATTAAGGGCAACAGCACGCACAAGCATAACGTTTTTTGACTTGCACATTAATAATACAAAAAGTTTGACAGGTGTATTATCTTTGTTTTCCTTCTTTCCTAATTGTTAAGCCTTTATTTATCCGCATTATTGGCAACCAGAACGAAGACTCATCAGGCTTCACCAGAGAAAATTCCCATATGTGCAAGACCTCAGCCAGAGCCTTATTCTATAAGGTTTATAATGCAAGAGGATTTAATTGCCCTTCTCTCTACATGGATATCTGCCCGGCACATTGAAGCCCAAATGTTTTACATTCAGTATGATTTATACTCCAGCTCTATTAATGTCACTGGCAACCAAACCACGGATCTCAAAGAAAGCAAACCAAACATGTCAGTGCCTCAAGTTCTGTTATCTTTGGAAGGGCAGATTCAGATATGCACCCGCTCGGCAAAGGGCAGACTAAATCTGCCTTGAACTCGGCTGACCCAGGACCAGAGCTTCCACATGCCGCCTGCTACTAACCTCCTGCTCCATCAGTCAGCTTCAGGGGAGAAATAGCGACGGCTGCAGCAGCTCTGGGTGGAACTGGCTCAACTACAAGGATAAGGTGGTTAGGAGAAGGACAGGTCTGCTGTCACACCAGCAGCGCAGCCTCCCAGTTCGAGCCCTGATGCCAAAGCCCTAGCGAACCTGCAGGATGAGGCAACCGAGGAGCCCAGCGAGAAGCACGTGCTGTGACTCTGGAGCTGGCACTCCCAAGGCTCCAGTGTTTCCTCCCAGGTGGAACTTGTAACGTAGGGCTGAGGAGGTGCAGCTGAGCACAAAGGCCCTGGAGACCTGACGTTATCAAGGGCTCCTCAAGAGCTAGCTCCCTGCTGTCGTTATTTCCCTATAGCCGATGAGACACTGCAGAGAATATTGCCTGGTTTACCCGCTGGGGAGGCTTTGCTCGCTGGAAGAGCTGGAGTGGCTGGACAAGGAGCCAGCCTTCTTCCTCTTCCAGAATGACATCAGTATGAGTGTATGAAATTCAGGACAAAGGAGTCAAAACATGTAACGTGGTCTCCTTTGTATTTCACTCTCCTTTGCCTTTCCTTACACGCTTTACTTCTGCACCACTTCCCACATACATACTTGCAGGTGAAACGTATGCACATCAGTTACACTTAGTAGCAAAATACTTTAAATGCTGCTATAACTGAATTCATTTTGCTTTAAATATGCTTAACGCGCTGAGTCTTTTTTATTCCCTCAACATGTTTTAGGCAGGCAGCCACTTGAAAGCAGTGCTGCTAAAAACTGCTTGTCCAGTACAATGCATTATAAACACCAAGCTTCCCCTGCAGTTACAATATCCTGAAATACTAAATTTAAAATGATGTAGAAGGAGAGCTGTATGAAAACAACAGCATCTATGAGACATACCAGATGAAAACCTATCTGGAGGAGTTATGAAAGTACAGCTGATTTTTAGCTTTACCAGAGCTGTGGTTTGTATACAAATTTACTCGATTTCCAGAGAATAACTCAAAAAAGTGAAAATACAGAAGGTTTATCAAGTATTCATATGGAATAAATTAGTCAAAACAATGGTATTGTTTTCTAATCGAACTTTCTTGAGGAGGGATCACATGCTTCCCCAGCGTCTGTAACTGGAGGTAGCATAACCTCATTGTGTGTTTCTGGTGATGTGGGAAATGAGGACTAGTTCAATGTCTTCCCTTCCATGCTTGGTCTCTGAATCTTGCTGGTATCCACTTTTAAAGTGTAACCGTACTCTTTAACACAAAGGAAAGACAAGCCTGTAGCACAAAACAAAGAAGTAAGAAAAGGAATTGTAACTTAAATTGCCTTCTAGTTCCGACACGCTAATGGTGTGTGTGGGGAAGCGGTCAGGCCAAAGAAAACAGGAAAGTGAGATGGCTGGGAGGACTTCCCATTCCTCAGGACTCAGAAAGAGATGGAAAGATTCTTCTGGACTGGGTGAGTTTAAATTCATTTTTATCCTCATCCTTTACAGCAGGGCAGAATAAAGCAGGACCAGGATATTATACTAACTTTGCCCATGAACTAACTTTCCATGGCATTTTCTATGGCAATTTATTCTTATTACTGCATTGTTTAATCTGAATTGCCTTAGCACACAGAAACACACATCAGAACCGGGCTTCCCCTGCCTTAGTTGCAATCCATGGAAAATGCAGACTCTCTCAACTATCTTCAACAACATGTGACAGCAGAAAGAAGAGGGATACACTTAACTATCTTCCTTTCGTTTTATTACATGGAACCTTGACTTTACTATTTCCCTCTGAAGAGAGAAGCTCACCACAGTATTATCTCCATTTATAAGACATACAACACAGTTTCTTGCAATCCCATTTCTTGCACATCTAACAGTTACGCTGGAGCAGATCCTGCCTCCAGCTGCCCTCCGT